TATGAAGAACTGTACTCCAACAAATTTGAAAATCTGGAAAAAATGGGCAGATTTCTAGAAACACACCACTTACCTAAATTAACTCAGATTGATGTGGAAAAGTTGAACAGGCCCATCACAAAAGAAGAAATTGAACAGGTCATCGAAAAATTACCAACTAAAAAAAGTCCTGGCCTAGCTTGTTTCACTGGAGAATTCTACAAAACATTCAGAGAAGAACTGATACCAATCCTACTCAAACTATTCCAAAACATAGAAAAGGATCAAATCCCCCTAACTCATTTTATGAAGCAAGCATAACCTTGATACCAAAATCAGGCAAAGACATCACTCAAAAGGAAAACTGCAGACCAGTATCCCTCATGAATATAGATGCAGAAATCTTCAACAAAATCTTAGCCAATAGACTGCAACATATCAAGAAAATCATTCATCATGACCAAGTGGGGTTCATATCAGGTATGCAGGGATGGTTCAACATTGTCACTCTGGTGCTTGTGGTGGCCCATGCCTCAGCTGGGCTTCCTCAGAGCACAAGACGACATAGTGGACATCTGACAGGACCTTCTGTCAGCCCCTAGCCACTGTCACAGTCTGCAATTTGCTCCCTGCCTTGTGATGTCCCTCTGCAGTATCGTGTCGTAACTCTTTAACAAGGGGTGATGTTTTTAAAGACAAGTCGACTGGTTTTCAGAAGACACCTGTCATCATCAAAAGACTGTTCATGAATCATTAGCTGGCTGAATATTATTTGTCCACTTTGACTTTAAAATTTTAATGCTGACTTCAACACCGAAGACCTGAAATAAGAGTAGCTCCACCTCTGAGCCGAGCCGTGTGCTTGGGAATCTCAGACCCACAGCATGTCTGCAGGTGCACCTCCAGTGAGGAACGTGGGCCTCATAAGCCGAGAGCCACTCAGGAAGCCACTAGCTGACCAGCTGCCAGGGCCAGGCGCCCCCAGGCCATCCTACTTCTGCAGTGTTGTCTGATTCCAAAGTTGAGTATCGCATGTGTACACGTCCACTGTTCCTCTACTGTTTTATAGAAAGAATGATAAAAAGAGTCAATGTTCATGCCCGTGTGGAAGAACCTCAAGAAGTCCAGGGCTCACTGCTGTGAGTGGACGTGGGCCCCAAGAAGCTCATGCCTGAGTGACTCAGCCAAGGAGTACAGTCCGTTCTCGGGAACACAGTAGAAGCATGTTAGGATCCGTGGTGGCCATTTTTATACATGAGACCAAGAGATGTTTTGTCATGGAACTTTTTGTTCATCTGAAGAAATGTTGTTCAGTAGGACACTTGGTAGCATAGTGCCTAAGGCCCTTGACTGCTAACCAGAAGGCTGGCGGTTCAAACCCACCAGCCACTCCTCGGAAGGAAGGTTGGGCAATCCACTTCCACAGAGATACCACCTCAGCAACCCAAGGAGGGGTCGCTATGAGTTGGGTCTGACTTGACAACGCATAACAGCAACAACAACAAGGGTACTTGGTACAGCTGCAGGGCCCTGTGCACAGTGCTGAGCTCACTGTGTGTATACACACAGCTGCAGGGCCGTGTCCACTGTGCTGAGCTGTCTGACTTCACTGGGGTCAACTCTTCTTGTTGCTGATTCTTTAGGTGGCCCTTGTGCAGTGGACAGAGAGTGTGGGCCTCACCCTGGTCAGCAGGGACCTGACCTCCATGCAGCTAAGGACACCCAGTGGACAGATTCTCATCTACCGTGTCCTGCAGGTGTTCCCCTTCACCTCCGAGAGCAAACGTATGGGGATCATCGTCAGGGTGAGTTTATTGTACACGCGGCCTTGCAGTTCACTGTGGGTTCTTCTCCATATCAGCTCACTGAATTAAAATAACCTGCATGCTTTTACAATATATTAAATTGACACAAGGAATTTCCTAACAGCAAAGTGACAGCGATAGTCATGTGTTTACTGTCTGACATTTTTTAATGAAATCTAAACTAGTGATTCATGATGAGGGGCTTGAAGTGTCCTGCTAGCAGCTGGAAAGGTGTGAACAGCCACCTGGGAACACAGGGGCAGAGTAAGGTGTAGCTCTTAGTTTTTTAAATCAGCTGATTTCTTTTCTTTGGTTTTTTACAACAGTAGCATGCCCAAGATTTAACAATGCTTTAGGACCACAAAGCTGCTGATACACCTCTATTAAGTTCCTTCAGCAAATACCAATACTGTGCCTTGAGAGTTGGCCATACAAGGACGCACCAAGTGCATTCCTGAGGATTGAGGGGACCCCTGTCTCCATGGTGCCCATTTCATAGATGGAGCAGAGTTTATCCAAATGGCTACAATGCACACTCAAGGCTGGCATCCTTGTCCTCGCCTGCCCTGTGTCCCCATGAGTGGTGCTGGCATGGTGTCCTGAATCAAGTCCAGCCATGAGAATTGGGGGACCCCTGTCTCCATGGCACCCAGTTCATAGATGGAGCAGACTTGATCCAGGCTGGTGTCCTGGTCCTTGCCTGCCCTGTGAGTGGTACCAGGACGGTGTTCTGGGTCAGGGAACCAAGCCACCTGACCATGCTTAGCTGTTTTCACTCTGCCCCAGGACGAATCCACGGCCGACATCACATTTTACATGAAAGGCGCCGATGTTGCGATGTCCCCCATCGTCCAGTACAACGACTGGCTGGAAGAGGAGGTAGGGTGAGCCCTTCACATGGTGCACACATATGTCTACTCCATCTGGTGAGCAGATGACAGACGGACAGTATCCTCCCCTACCTGTGGACCAGGTGTACTGGCAGAAGTTGAGCTGTCAGTGTTTCTAGCCAGGACACCCATGGCTGCCAGTGTTTCTAGCCAGGACACCCATGGCTGCCAGTGTTTCTAGCCAGGACACCCATGGCTGCCAGCCAGGGCAGAATTCCCCAGAATGGTACCTGAGGTTGTGCTCACTCCCAAAAGCAGAAGGGGGAGGTGTGCTCTTTGATCTTGAACAGTTTGCTTTCTGTGTGAATATTTGCTGCTGTTCTGTGTGGGAATGTGTCCTGATGGACAGAAGTAGGGCCTGCTAAGGACCTTTGTGGGTAGATAGCGGGAAGTGGGAAGCTCGGTGTCCTGAGTCATGCCCTCCAAGGGATTTTTTAATCATATCAAATACGTAATTCCCTGCTGTCGAGTCAGATCCGACTCCTAGCGACTCCTCCTCGGGTTTCTGAGGTGGTATCTCTACAGAAGCAGATTGCCCAACCTTCCTTCTGAGGAGTGGCTGGTGGGTTTGAAGCTCCAGCCTTCTGGTTAACAGTCAAATGCCTTAGACATTACGCCACCAGAGCTCCTGTCCAGTACATAGCCAAAGTTGTTTTTTAAATACAGTGTTCATTTTGTAACCCAAGTCAAAGAAGTTTAATCTTGTGCTGATCTATACGTTGGATTCATCCAGAAAACAGAAAATTGAGTGTCAGCAGCCCAGGCCCTAGCCCACCAGAATCCCTTTGAGCCTCGTGTATGTTGTTTATACTTGGGCGTTATGGGAGTGGGGTCTCCATGTGGCACTAAGATGATGGTGACTGTCCATGTGACTGACCCTCTGTGTACACCTTGTTAGGCACATAAGCAGGACAGATAGCACGGGGGCCAGCAGTCCCCTCGTTCACAACGGTATTGGCAGTAAGAATCAGTATCCTCTCCAGGGCTCTTCCATCGGGGACATGAGTAAGTTCCACTCCCTGAAGACCTAGTAAAATGCCATAAAAATACTTTCGGTCATAATGACATACAATTAATTGTAAAATGTTTGTTTAATGTATTTAGTTTTATGAGGTCAAATCACTAAGTATCTCGCGACAGAAAATGCCAGATTGTCACAAGTCTAACTATTAAAGATGTGTGAACATGCTTGCTTTCTGTGGACAAGGCTTTCCCCTCCACCGATGTCTGTGCGTATCATAGAGTAGTTTGTGGTAAGTCTCTCGGCCTAAGAGCCTCCCCTGGATGACAGCCGCTCCCCAGAGCTGGGCACACACCTGGAGCGGGCTCTGGGAAGGAAACTGATGCAAATTTGAGGAAAAACGAACAAGGAAACGCTTTCACTCATTGTGTTACGAAAGAGACAATTGTCAAAAACCTGGAGAACAGTGACATAGCCCAGATATGAATGGGTGGGGTGCGAACAGATGGCCTCCTCCAGTCCAACCACAGGTGATGTCGGACCCTGACCCACAATTACAAATGAGGCAAGTCATCCAAACGGGGGCCTGCAGAGGCCGGGAGGCAGTCGCAGCCTTAGCTCCGTATAGGCAGACCTGTGTCCTCAGCGGCAGCAGCCTTACTTCTGTCATTAGCGTGTTTTACTGAGGAAGGAACAGGCACAGGAAGGTTAGGGAGGGTCCAAGAACAGAAGGCTAGTGTCCCCAAGCCGACACTAGGGGCTGCACCCCGTGTGACTCTCACCAGCAGCCTGGAGCACTTGGCGGGTATTGGGGGGTCACACAGGATTGTCTTCCATGCTGCACGTGATAGAAGAGGAGCTCTCCTGTGACATGGAGTGTCACAGCAGTGAAGTGGTTGGACTGGGTGGAACACGGAAGCGGTTGTCAGCACCGCAGAGAGTACTGGGAAATGCCCCAGAGCCAGTGTGGATGGTGGACGTGCGTCTTCCCCAGCGTGGGAACATGGCCGCGACAGGTGAGTATCACCCGGGTGTGACCTGGCCTCTCTCCCCCAGTGTGGGAACATGGCTCGGGAAGGACTGCGCACTCTTGTGGTCGCCAAGAAATCCTTGACGGAGGAGCAGTACCAGGATTTTGAGGTGCGTAAGTTTCAGTCCTGCATGTCCCACAGACTGTGAGGTGGTCCTTTGTCCAGCCTGTGTCCTTGGTGAGGGTCACGGTTGACTGAGTGCGTAGGGTCACCAGAGCACAGAGGTTCGACCTGCTAGGTTCCCTCACTCCTCTGCTCACAAGTCTAGGTGCTCACGGCCCCTCCCAGAGAGCAGGTACCGTGTTCGCTCTCGGTGCCCACGGCCCCTCCCCCAGAGCAGGTACTGTGTTCTCGGTGCTCACGGCCCCTCCCCCACAGCAGATCTGTGGTCTTGGTGCTCACCCCCCCTGTCTCCCCAGAGCCGGTACAGCCAGGCCAGGTTGAGCCTCCACGACCGGGCACTCAAGGTAGCAGCAGTGGTGGAGAGCCTGGAGCGGGAGATGGAGCTGCTGTGTCTCACTGGAGTCGAAGACCAGCTGCAGGCAGATGTGCGGCCCACCCTGGAGATGCTGAGAAATGCAGGCATCAAGGTACTGGCCTGGCACCGAGCGGTGCTGTGAGCCCCTCCCAGGTGGGGGCCCTCCCTCCTGAGTTAGCAGGAGCGCACAGGAGTCTGGGTTTGTTTAATGAGCTTTGCCTCATTGAAAATACCTGCGATCTGAGCTTAGGATCATTTGTAAACTGCCTCTCTCATCGTTTCATTCATTCACGTTGTCACACAGTGGCAAGGTGCCACAGGGAACATGGTGAGCATGTCCTCCAGAGTGTGACGTCACCCGGGTCCACCTACCACGTGACCCCTGCAGAGAGGCTTCCACCCGGAGCAAACTCGTATGCTGGGTGCTTGTGCCTGGTTTTAAGTACCACTGGGCTTTACAAGCCCGTGACCATGGGCTCTCTGGGGGGCCGTTTGTCTGGTGGGAGGGATTGTGTGAGCATTTGCATCTGCTGCACAGAGGTGGCCTGGACTGGACCTGGGGCCGCTGAGCCCAGGCTCGGCCCCTCTGCCCTTGCTTACCTCAGCCTACATGCAGCACAGACCTTGTTGGAGGGCAGACGTGCTGTGTCTCGGTGTTCATGTCCCCACGTGTTCCACAGATATGGATGCTGACAGGTGACAAACTCGAGACGGCCACCTGTATTGCCAAAAGTTCTCGTCTGGTGTCGCGGACGCAGGACATTCATGTCTTCAGACCAGTGAGTGTGTCAGGCCACCCTGTTTCTCTAGCGTTTTCTCTCAACTAAGACCTGCTGTTTTTGTGACAAAATGAATGCCGTTCTATGTCAATTACTGAATACCTGTTTTTACAAGAAATACCATCATTCGATTTCTAAAAATAGTCATGTTAGTGAAAAGTTGATTCCCACGAGTTACATCCACTTGTTGCAATGAGAGTGTGGCACAGGCCAGAATTTGAAGTGTTTTCTGTTACAGTGTCAGTATCATCTGGTAACAGCTGACTCTCTTTTATAAAACAGACTGCACTGTCCTCGATTGGGCTCATAAAAGCCCATTTTGCTGGGAGTGACATCTTGCATCACTCTGTGCATTTACATGGATTCCAAAAGCCGCTTCTGTCAAACATACTCTCAACACAAAATTTTTGATGTTATGTGCTGTCGAGTCGACTCCGACCGACTCATAGCGGCCCCTCCTTGGGTTGCCGAGGCAGTATCACCACAGAAGTAGATTGCCCAACCTTCCTTCCGAGGAGTGGCTGGTGGGTTTGAGCCATCAGCCTTCTGGTTAGCCGTCAAGTGCCTTAGGCACTACGCTACCAGAGCTCCTCAACACAAAATAGGAATGTGTTTTTAATCTGCCACCATCTTCAAATTAAATGTTTTTCCTTAATTAGCTCCCAGAAAATTAATACAAATGATCTAAATTTATGTGTTTACTGTATGTATTAGTTATGACTACATTTAATTCAAACAAAAAATAAAAATCTCTTGGGTCGTGATTGATGGTGGGTGAGCAGACAAAGCATGTCTCCATCTGCCCTGCGTGCTCCGCCTGCACCTACAGAAACAATTACCTGAATATAATTCACATGTAAATGTCATTGACGCCGAAGCATCGGAATCGCCAATGAGGCCCTGCAGACGGTGATTTGCAATTAAATTATTAATGCTTCTGATAAAACTGCAGATCAACTTTTGTTGACTTTTCAGTGTTATGATGCCACAAATTACATTTCCACAATAAAATCCACCTATTTAAAGATGAGTCTAAGTGCACTTATTTGGGCCACGTGAAACTTAATTTATTGTGGCCCCGTGATACCTCATTTCTTTTGTGGCCCATAAAATCTCTACAGGGAGAATGTCAGAACCCAGCATACCGATTACCCATTTCTAAAGGGTCTCTATTCTACAATTAGTGACAGTTTAAGACTTTAACTTTGTTTCACTCTTTAAAATTCTTAATCCTTCAGATTCTGAACAAAACCGGACAAAGACAGCAGGAGCAATCTTGCCAAAGTAATTGGTGCCACGTGGCATGTTATGAAAAGTGACAATTTATATAAAACCCACACTTGAGACGATCCTGTCTCTTCACCTCATACCTGGCAGGGGACCTCAGCTTCCTGGGGTCCGGGTGCTCTGATCTGCCAGTGTGTACCTACCGTGTCCCACCCATCTCCCCACCCACCTGTCACTCTGGGCTGGAGGATTTCCATCAGCCATTATCAGTACACCTTAAAACCCAGTGCTCTCCTCACCTGTAAAGGTGAGGACAAGCCCAGCTGCCCTTTGATCTGGACCTCGAGCACATATGCCAGGGTCCTGACAGGTGGCATATGCTCTTAGCTTTTCTACCCAGTGCCCTTGTCCTGCTTCGAATCCCACCTGCCGGAAGATAATCAAGGTGTGGGATTGGGTCTCCACCCCTCACACTGTTTTGCTCGGGTCTTTATGTATAAAATATCTTCTGGTGTAGGTAATAAATGTGAGTCTTGTGATTTGTTGAATGAACTTTTGTGTGTCTATCCATGTCTCTAATTGAGACTGAGCGGTAATTGGGACACTTTTCCCCCACGAAGGTGACAAGCCGGAGTGAGGCCCATCTGGAGCTCAACACCTTCAGAAGGAAACACGACTGTGCCCTTGTCATCACTGGGGACTCCTTGGAGGTAGGGTGCTCTGCCGCCAGACACGTCTCCTCTGTGTCGAGTTCTTGGGGCTTGCTGTTCAGGTGTGCAACCCTGTCATGATTGCCACAGTCTTCTTTCGCTAAGTCATTTGTCATGTATTAGTTTCAGGTGAATGTCACTCTGGGAAGCGGTCGTATAAGCTAAATTGGTACAGCTCTTCACTAACATGACTTAGGGGTGGAAAGTCAGAGGGCAGGGCCCATCACTCTCTTCCCTCGGCCACCGTGTTCATAGCAAAGGTCACACTTCAGCTCGGAGGGTGGGATAGCCCATCTGGTACTTTCCGTGCCAGAACATCCTTGTCATACAGAACTCCTTCCCCCATTTGTACATTTCCTATCTGTATGGATCAAGCAAAGTACTTTCCTGCTCACAGATTGTAAGCAGCGGCAGCGTGTGCCTTCCCAGTGATGGTGGAGAGGACAACACCTTTCTCCCTCACCTTTAGGAAAGTAGAGGAAGTGACTTACTGTCTTCCATCTGGCCCCAGGCCACCCTTTGTCCTGGGCTTTATTGTCTGGCCGTGTGCTGTACACAGTGGCAGTCCTGTTCTCTCACCATAGTATCCACCTGGCTTGATGCCTGATTTGCTCTTTGCCAGCCTGAAGGGCACGTTTTGTTTTCCACTCTTCAGTGTTGGAGTCACTTGCATTTACTGTGTGTGCATGTTTTGAAGTGTTCTTTGTATCCGTTATACATACAGGCACATACGGTCGGTCCTACAGTCACTCTCCTACTTCCTTCTCTATTAATTTATTTAGTTAGTTCCTGTTGTGGTTCTCTAGTCCTGCTGTAACAGATACAACACAGGCACATGGCTTTAACAATCAGGGATTTATTCTCTTGCAGTATAGGGGCTAGAATTCCAAGTTCAAAGTGCTGGCTCTAGGGGCTAGGTGAAGGCCCCTTGACCTTGGGCTTCAGCTCTGTTTCCTGTTCCAGGCCCACTAGAGCCAGAGGCTTCTTCTGACTTATGCAGCTGCTGGCTGCAGAGGCTGAGGAACCCAAGTTTAACAAGTAAAATGGCACAGTCCCACGATTAGCAGATGACGTGGCAGGCCACTAGTTCAGGTCCAGGAACAATTCCAAGATCAGCTAGCAACATGGCAGGCCATCGAGATGAAGACTTGGCCTGATGCAGGATCCAAACATGCCAACAAGCTCAAGACCTTTCTCAAAGGTTCTTCCATACTGGAAGCAGATGCCCTAAGGCAGCTACTCAGCTGCTCACAGCAGATTCCCCCATAGAGCTGATAATCGACTTCTCCTGGGGAATAACTTAATCCAGCTGCCCAGCTACTCAGAGCCACAGCCCAACCAAGCTGACACACAGCTTTAACTACCACAGTTCCTATTGTACAAGATGATTCCAGCCTCTTCCTCCCAACACAGTTAAACCCTAGTTATGAGTGGATTGTGTTATTATAATTGTATTGTATTAATGCAGTGTATTACATAAGTGTGTGAACATTATGTATAGCCAAACCATTTAGCCTACCATGATGAGGGTTTTTTCTACCTAACTTTTTATTTGCCCCTGGAGCCAATAAATTTCTAAATGTAGTGTCTTTATTTCGCCCACATACTTGAAGGATAGTTTGATTGGGTATAGAATTCTGAACTCAAGTTTCCCTTTAGAAATTTAAAGACATTTCTTGGTTGGTATCTACCTTAGTGTTACTGTGGACAAGCCTGGAACCCTTTGAACGGAAATGCTTTTCTTCCTGAAAGCCTGCAGGATCTCTATGTTCATCCAGAGTTTTGTAGTTTCACATCAGTGTGCCTTCTAGGGGGAAACATTCATGAATGATTTCCTTGACTTCTGATTTTTTGTCTTCTCTTTGTGGAACTCCAATTACACTGATGTTGGACATCCTGAAATACAGTTTTCATATCATTTCTTTCCTGTTTTTATCTCTTCACTTTATTTTTCAACCACTTTATTAAAGTTTATCCCATCCAGAGGCTAACTGTCCTACCCTTTGCCAAGACAGGAGAGTACAGTTGGCCCAAGTTGCTTGCCACTGGAGTAGAGGAAGGGAATTACGGCTCTGTCTGCCTTTTATGTGTTCTCCAGCCTACGTGCTTTATGTCATCTCTCTCTTGAGAGATGTTTGACCCATTATAAATGCTCTCCAGCCCAAGTACTACCTCACCTCTCTTCAGAGGTATCTGACCCATTTTAGGTGCTCTCCAGCCCATGTGCTATGTCACCTCTCTCTTCAGAGGTGTTACAGTTACGCGTGTTACCCAGCCGACATGCCATATCACCTCTTTCCAGAGGTGTCTGACCCATTCTGCACACCACACTCTCCAGCCCACATGCTCTGTCACCTCTCTCTCCAGAGGTGTCTGACCCATTACACATGTTACCCAGCCCACGTGCTGCATCAGCTCTCTCTTCAGAGGTATCTGACCCATTATACGTGTACCCAGCCCATGTGCTACGTCATCACCCTTTTTGAGAGGTACCTGACCCACTGGTCCTTGAGCCTTTCATGGACCCCAGTCTTCCCACTGCTGGTTGGGATTTCTCAGGTGCCCACATCACTTGCCCTTTGTCTCTCAGATCTTCAGGTTCTCCATTGTCCCCACCTTGTAGCATTATGCCTTGTAACAAATCTGCTTAAAGTTGTTTCCATGAGATTTGGGGGAGGAGCAAAAGTAGCTACTGTATAAGCTCCATGATCTTTTCTGAGTGTGTATGTTTTTAATTGTTTGCTGTTTTTATTTTCAAATTACATACATGTATGTGATAATCAATAGGAGAGGAAACCCACCCAGCTCTGGTGTCCCTGTTCTCCTCCCCAGAAGACAGCTATTTAGCCCTCTCTGATTTTAGGTCTTCCAGTGGTTGACTTCCATCCATCTGCATGACCTGCTGTGTCTCTGTTTCTTAATTTTCGGCAGTATTTACTGAGTGGCTTCCATAAACATGAGCATTTAGCTTATCATCCCCTCCCTCCTACCCTTCACTGGTTTTATTTGGAAATCGATCAGCCCCCTGCAGTCTTCCCTTTATGTAGGGATTTTGAGCTGAGGCTTCTTCTCACATTGCATCTGTTCCATCGTCTACATCTCACGTCTAGCCCACCTTCCATCTTCTGCAAGTTTGTGGAGCTGCCCCTCCCCTTCCTCTGCACTGTTGTGCATGTAGATTCTTACATGAGCTATATTCATGTGTGTGCATGTGTCTGCACTTGTGTGTATATACATATGCATGTGTGCTAACATGCATTTTTGTGGGAACCCATGTGTACCTATGTATGCATGTGTGTTATTGAGTGTGTGTGCATACTCGTGTGTACCCATGTGTGCATGTGTGCATGTACATTCATGTGTATGCAACATAGACATGTATGCATGTGCTCACACATTCATATGTGTACCCCTGTGTACCTATATGTATACATGTATGCTCTTGAACACGTGTGTGTGTATTCATATGTGTCTGTGCACTTCTGTGGACACATGCATGTGTGCTCACATGCATTCGTGTGTACCCATGTGTACCTGTGTCTGCAGGTGCACTTGTGTGTGTGCATGTATGTCTATATGTGTGTGCTTGTGTCTTTACTTGATGTATGTGTGAATGTGCCCATGTGTATCCATGTGTCTGTGTGTGCACTCATTTGTGCTCACATCTGGGCATGCTTGTGCATGTGTGTATATATCTGTGTGTACATGTCTGTGCATTTGTGTACACACGTATGCACGCATATGCTCACGCATTCATGTGTGTCCACCCATATATTTGTAAACTTGTTTGCAGTTGTGTACACACATGCATGTGTGCTCATGTACATTCATCTGTGCAGCCATGTGTATGTATCTGCATGTACATGCATGCACCCTTGTGTATGTGTGTATGTTCACATGTACGTGTGTGTCTGCTCGTAAATATGTGTGTTTCACAAGCCCCACCATCTGTTGAGCATATAAAAAGTACAGGTCAGTTTGGCAGCTGTTCACGGAGGTGACCTGAACAGCTGATTTGGAAGACCTGCAGTGTCTGTACCATACTCGTTGGATTCTGTGGCTTCTGTGTTCCTCCCCCACGGGCTTGTGGATGCTTGGTGGCTGCAAGGCCTGGCCTGTGCCCTGCCACACGCCTCCCTCCCCATCTGACCCTACGGTGCCCAGGTGGCCTCGCACCGGCAGCACTCCTGAGGCCATGTCTGCTCTGTGCGCGCTCTCCTAGCACCTGCGCAGGTCTGCTGACAGTGGCACAAAGAGGACACCCACCAGACAGGAAAGCGCCTCGCTCCCAAGCAGCCGTGGCTGCTTGGAGCACCCAGCCTGCTGCCCTGGATGTGTTGCAGGTCTGCCTGAGGTACTACGAGCATGAGTTTGTGGAGCTGGCCTGCCAGGGCCCCGCCGTGGTGTGCTGTCGCTGCTCACCCACCCAGAAGGCCCACATAGTGAAGCTCCTACAGCAGCACACGCACAGGCGCACGTGCGCAGTGGGTGAGCCCAGGGGTGGGGCTGGCACCATGGGCCATCAGGTGCACCACCTGTGAGCTGGGGGCGGGATCAGCACACGTGTACTGTGGGTGGAGGTGGGATCAGCACGCATGCACAGTGGGTGGGGCAAGGTCAGTGCACGTGTGCCGTCAGGGAACCCCAGCCCAAGGCAAGTGTGCATGCACCATGGGGTGCCAGGAGATGGGTCAGGGTGGTCAGTAGACAGTGGGGAGAACTGTCTGTGAAGAGCTAGGAGCCGTGGCCTCCGGAGCGCCCCATAGTTGGCAGTAAGAGTTTAAGAAGAACTGGTTTGAAATTGACACGGAGAGTTGTGTTCAGTCTCTGAATGGGTATTTTGTTTTCCTTTGTCTACGGAAACATCTTTAGCAGCTGTTCTGGTTACCTAGTGCCTCTCTGCAAGAATATACCCAAAAAAAGTCCAAGTTCAAAGTGCCAGGTTCTAGGGCTGTGTGAAAGCCACTCAACCTTGGGCTTCAGCTCTGCATCTTGGTCCCAGCCCGCTGAAGCTAGAGGCATCTCTTCACTCAAACAGCTACTGGCTGCTGAGGCTTTAGCCCAAGGTTGACATAAAATGGCACAGTCCCAATGTTACCAAACCACATGGCAGGCCATTAATTTAAGTCCACTGTAAGTCCCAAGGTCAGCAGAGCATGGCAGGCTGCTGAACAATGACATGGCTACATGTAGGGTCCAAGCGTGCCGTAGGCTGGAGACCATTCCACAAGGCTCCTCCTTATGTACAGGAAGCAGACCATATCCCAAAGGCAGCTACTCAGCTGCTCACAGTAGATTGCACCATGGAGATGATGACCAGCCTTACCATGGGGAATACTACACCCAGCTGCCCAACCACTCAACCAGGCCCAGCCAAGTTGACACACAAACTTAACTACCACAGGGGCCTCTCATTGAAAAAAAAAACTAAACAGATCCCCTGTGAGGTACAGATGGGCTCTGTTGCTCATTGAGAGGGTAGAAGTTCAAGGCCATTCAGGCACCTCAGAGGAAAGGCCTGGCAGCCAATCCTGGGAACCCGGTGGGCCCAGTTCCGCTCTGACCTACAGGGTCACTGGAACTCAGGTCGGCCCCACAACATCTGGTTTCTAACAGCAGCAAGGCCAGGCTGCAATCGTGTATGGGTTCTTTAGAGCCTCACCTTGTTTCATGCCTACAGGCGATGGAGGAAATGACGTCAGCATGATTCAGGCGGCCGACTGTGGCATTGGGATTGAAGGAAAGGTACGCATCTTCCCTCACTCCTGAGCACTTGACTCCAGGCTCCTGCCAAAACCACTCAGCACAGAGGTGCTAGCCCTGGACTTGCCTTGCCATGTATGTCACATAGGGCACATGGGGGACTATGTCAGCACACACGTGTCCCAGGAGAGCACTTGGGGGAATATGTCAGCACACACATGTCCCAGGAGGGCACACGGGGGGAATGTGTCAGCACACACGTTCCTGAGGGCACAACGGGGAATGTGTCAGCACATTTGTCCCAGGAGGGCACATGGGGGAATATGTCAGCACACATGTCCCTGACGGCACACGGGGGAATGTGTCAGCACACACCTGTCCTGGGAGGACACGTGGGGATGTGTCAGCGCATCTGTCCCAGGAGGGTACACGGGGGAATATGTCAGCACACACATGTTCCAGGAGGGCACATGGGGAAATAGGTCAGCACACACGTCTCCTGGGAGGGCACACGGGAATGTGTCAGCACACACATGTCCCTAGAGGGCACACAGGAGAATGTGTCAGCACACGTGTCCTAGGAGGGCACATGGGGGAGTATGTCAGCACACACGTCCCTGAGGGCACAACGGGGAATGTGTCAGCACACGTGTGTCCTGGGAGGGTACGTGACGGTGTGTCAGCATACTTGTGTCCTGGTAGAAGCTGTATAGAAGCGTTTCCTACTATCTTAGATTTGTTTGGGTTCCACAGTTCTGAGTTGGGAGTGGTTTCTTGTCTATGTGCGCTGCAGTGAAAAGTCTCCTATGTCCACAGGAGGGGAGGCAGGCATCACTGGCGGCTGACTTCTCCATCACGCAGTTCAAGCACATTGGCCGGCTGCTCATGGTGCACGGACGTAACAGCTACAAGCGCTCAGCGGCACTTGGCCAGTTCGTCATGCACAGAGGCCTCATCATCTCTACCATGCAGGTGCCTGTGTGCCAGTCCGTGTGTGCGGGTCCAGGGGGCAAAGGGCTCACCATGTGTCACGTGACTGTGTGTGCAGGGCCAGAGGGGGTCACGGGGCACACCATGTGTCATGTGACTGTATGCTCGGGGCTAGGGGCTCCTGTGTGTCCTGTGACTGTGGTCACACAGAGTGGACACCCACGTGTGCTGTGTGTGGTAGACTCGTGGGTGAGGCCCCGAGGCCTGCAGGAGTGTGGCGCCCCCAGCTGTTGGCGCTGGCTGACTGTGCTCTCTTTCAGGCCGTCTTCTCCTCAGTCTTCTATTTTGCGTCTGTCCCTTTGTACCAGGGCTTCCTGATGGTGGGGTAAGTTCAAGTCACGTCATCTTGTCTAATCCATATGGTTTCCGGTGGTTTTCAGAAGTTGGTCACCAGATCCCCCTTCCTAGTCTGTCACCTGCTGCTGTGTGAAATCCTGGTGGCATAGCTTCTAGCTTCACAGCAACACTCATGCCACCACACCACGGCACACATGTACGGCCGTCATCACGTGGCACCTAGACACACTGACGGACAGGAAGGGCGAGTGACTCTCGGTAGTGACCTTTATGGACTGCTCTTGTCACAGAGCTGAGGCTTTCAGGACCTCAGCACCAGCTCCCCACAGCCCTGCGCTTGAGCCCCATGCAGAGGGCTGAGTGTTGGGGGATGTAGGTTGGCAAGGACATGCTGGAAGAGGCACAGGAGGTGGCGGGCAAGTCTAAATGCACGTGGCTAGGATGGGGTCAGGTGATGCCCCATTTGGGATTTGCCCGTGGAGTTAGCTCTCACTTCATGTTTTCCTGTCGTAAGCGAGTAGTGTCCATCAAGCTGCCCAGCCACAGCCTGCGTTACTGATGGAAGTCATGGGGTTGGGCCTGATGGTGTTTAACAGAGTTAAATCCTCAAGGAACAAAAAGCCTCATGTCTTTCTTACGTTTTCCCATTGCTTACAACTTTGCAGGATTTGCACAGTAACGTTAGTTATACTTTGAGTTTTTACAGTTTATTTCTCCTTGGAGTTCAAAGAAAAGCATAAACATTCTTAGTTTTGTTCACATTTTTAAAATTACAGATTTGAAACATTAAAAGGGACCACATGGTGATGATTTCTTAGGTAATAATCGCCTGAGTTGATGCAGGTCTGCCCGACAGATGCTGCCATTGTAAAAGAAGCACCACTTACTGGGAACGCGTGTGCTTAGTTAAGTGACAAGACGGACTTCAGAGTTGAAAATATTTCTCTTCTAAAGATAGTGTTAAGCAATAAAAAGGCAGGCAGGGAGAAGATATTTTCAGTACGTACAGGTGACAATATAACTTGAATATTTAATGATCAGTTTCAACTGAATGATAAGATCAACATTCTAATAAAAGAAGAAATAAGAATGACCAGTAAGCTCATGAAAATCAAGTCAGCATCATTAGTTGTCAGGAAATACAACTT